AGGGAGGAGGTCACACACAGTTCCATGTAGTCGGTTCCCTCTTTCCTACCCATTCTCCCTTTACCCTCCCTGTTTTGCCACTCACACCACTGGTCTTATAGGCAGAGGGATATTTTCAAAATGAAAATGTGCATACAGCCTGTGATCACAAGAGTCCCTGGCTTCCTGGGGCACTTAGAATAAAGACCAAACCAAACTCACTGTCATCGGTGCCGATTCATAGCGACATCACAGGACAGGGTAAAACTGCGCCTGTGAGTGTCCAAGACTGTAACTCTTTACAGGGGCAGCAAGCCTCATCTTTCTCCCTCAGAGTGGCTGACCTTTCTCCCTGCTGACCTTACCATTAGCAGCCCAACTCGGAACCAACCACCACCAAGGCTTCCTAGGACAAACCAACCTGCAGGACCCTGCGTCACCCCTGTTCTTTCTGGCCATGTCTCCCACCAAGCCACCCCTGCAGTTCCACCGAATGTGTGTCAGGCTCCCAATACAGTGCTTTTCTTGGAAGAGTTTTCTCTCTTTCTGGTACCTCTTCTCACCGGGCTCAGAGTTCACCTTTGTTGAAGCCCCGGTAGCACAGTGGTGAAAGCGCTCAGGTGCTAACTGAAAGGCCAGTGGTTAGAGCCCCCCGCTACTCCATGGAAGGACAGACATGGTCATCCGTGCCAGCAAGCCCTATGAGGTCGCTGTTCTGTCTTGTAGGGTCAACTTGAATTGGCATGGAATCAAAGACACCACCACCAACAAACTTGCCCTTGGGTGGCACCGTTCAGTGCTCAGCTATGAGCCAAAGGGCACCTCGGAAGACAGGCCTGGCAATGGGCTGCTAGAAAATCACAGCCTCAGAAGCCCTACCGAGCAGTTCCCGGTACACCTGGCTGCAGAATGCACTCAAGGGCAAGGATCACGTGTGGGTTCTGACCCTCATGGAATCATCAGTTTCAAAGATGGCGCCAGACACGACGCTCTTGCAAGTGGCTCCTGACATAAATTCTTGTCTAACTGGGTCCCAAACCAAACTAAATTCACTGCCATCAAGTCGATGCACTCTCATAGTAACCCTCTCGGACAGGGTAGAACTGCTCTCTTACCAAAGTTCCGCAGGACAAAGATGAGACTTTCTACTCCAGGAAAGGGGCAGTCCCATTGGGTTTCTGGAGTGGGAAACACCTCGGTTCTTGGCTTTGCTCAATGCAAGAATTCACGCGGAAGCCCGTTTTGTATCCAATGGGTTTTTCTGAAGGACGGGGCAAGTTGGAGGTGTTACAGTCTCCAAGGGGTTCACAACTGGGCCCAAACAACCACGTGGAAAAGAGCACCCACACACGCAGAAATGGGGAGGATCCAAGGGACTGAGGGATCGAGGGATCAAGGGGCAAGAGGTCACAGAGGCCAGAGAGTGAGGGGCAAGAGCACTGTGGGCCCTGAGGGGGCACGCCCAGGTTGTGCGTGTACACCCCCACCCTCTGACCTGCCACTGACTAGGAGCAGGGTAAAATTGAATAAGAGAGTCCCAGAGTGTGCTCCCTGCCTTTATTCTAGCCCACCCCTGGCTTGGGGAAGGCATGGTCGACGGTATTGGTTGACCCCATTGGCTGGGTTAAGCCCACTGGGTGATGTCATGAGCCTGGACCTAGTTTGAGCTGTCCAGGTGTACCTCCTACCTGGATCAGGGGCTTGAGGATGAGCATGCTTAGTTTGGGGTCTTCATAGGTGTCTACTGGTTGTCTGATTTCTTCCCAGCCTTTATGGGGGCCTTTGCAGGCATGGGAGGGACAACCCCGTCCCTAAATCTAGCTACCTAAAAGTTCTACCCTTGAAAAATGGACCTTGAAGTTGGCAGTCTGATTCGTAACCACTGAGCCCCACAGCACTTTTGTTTGACACAACCGAAGCCGTGCCCTTCCTCGCCCATGAAGGAAGCGAAACTGAGGGCTTCTTAAGGTCAAGCAAAAGGTACAGTTAAAATCCAAGAGCAGCTATGCTGGGTTGGACTTCGAAGATGTCATTCTCTACCCTCCTTCACCAGCTGCCTCTCAGGTGCTGATTAGAATCTTTCTGGCAAAAGAGTGGTGGCTGTAGGATCACAAAACACCCAAGGCCTAAGCGGTGGCCACCCAAGCTCCCAAGCTGTCTCTGGGAAACTGGACCAGGCACAAACTCCCCATAAAAAGTTAGTGGCTGGCTCTACAGCACCCTCTGCTGCCCAACTACTGTCCCTGCCCCAGAAGGAAGCTGGGAACACACAGCTTCTTTCAAATACCACCTGTCCTCATTTCCTTCCAGGCTAGGTCCTGGAAAAGATGGAAAATTAAACTCCAAGCAAAGGAAATAGATGCTTGTGCTTTGTGCTTTAAGACTTACGTGTGTGTTGCGCTAGTTTTGTGTCCACTCCTGCGTCTTTCTCTAAGGTCTGTAAACGTGGTCCTCACAGCAGCATGGTCCCCAGCCCTTAGGCTCACAGAACTGTTGTTTGCAGGCCATCTGTAAACAGGAGACGTTTGTGGGCACCACCACCTGTTCCTTCCTGCGTGTTCGCTCAGAGATCTGGACATCAAAGCTTTATGGCAGGGCTGGGGCAAGTGGAAGGGAAGTCCGGGGCCAAAAGAGAGCATGCTGGGAAGGAGGCAGTGTCGAAGACGAAGGCAGGTGTAGGTAGGGTTGGATCTGTGGTGGAAGGTGAGGGAAGAGGGAGGGAAGGAGGCCAGCAGGGGCTGGATTCTGTGGCCAGTCCCAAGAATCCAGACCTTCCCAGGCATGCTATCTCAGGCAGCAGCGCTGACTCTGGGCCCTCCAGGTATTGGGTCCAACAGAGGGGAGCTCAGTGGGGCGTACAGAGAAGCTGTACACGTGTTCATGAAGAAAAGAAGACTGGTCAGAGCCCGGATCCGCCCAGCCCCGGGGGAAACCAGGTGGCGGCAGCAGCACCATGGGGAGGCGTTACTTCTGTGACTACTGCAACCGCTCCTTCCAGGACAGCCTCTACAACCGCAAGAAGCACCTGAGTGGGCTGCAGCACCTCAAGGCCAAGAAGGTCTGGTACGACATGTTCTGAGAAGCAGCCACCATCCTAGTGGACAAACAGAACAAGCGGCCCTGCTGGAAGTTTCTACTGATAGGCCAGTGCGACTTTGGGTCCCAGTGCCAATTTTCCCACTTGTCTGGCAGAGACCTGCAGAAGCTGAGCCGCCAGGTGGAAGAGAAGAGGTGGGCCAAGGAGTGGCCGCTGGACATCGGGGAGCTGCCTGAGGTCCATCTGGAAGACTGGCTGGAGAAGAGGGCCAAGCGGCTGAGCCTGGCTCCAAGCAGCAGGGCCGAACCCGCCAGTGCCACAGTCTTCCAGTACACCCTGGGCTGGCCACCACTCCAGGAGTGGGCCCCTCCACCTGGGGGCTGGCCCCTGAGCCCAATGTGCAGTGGGGCTGAGCCCCTTGACCCTGCCTGGCCCTCATTGTCAGCTTCTCACCGGTCACAGCGAAGAGGAGTGGGCAGACCCCACAGGGCCTCTGCTGCAGCCCAGGACCCCCGTGGGCCCCAGCCTCAGCCCGGGCCCTGAGACAGGCCGCACACCACCACCCCTGCCCCCCTGCCTCCTGCCAGTTGTTTTTACATAAAGAGTCTCTCAGCCCGTGAAAAAAGGGGGAAAAAAGAAAAGAAAGCAGGCCTTACTTACGATGATGAAATGAGCAGCTGCAGCGGCCAAGGTCTAGACAGTCCCTCTCCCCAGTTCTTCTCTCGGTTCCCTAACACCCTCTGCCCAGCATGAATTGCTGCTGGGCTCGCTGGCCCTGCGGTGCAGGAGAAAAACAGCTGGATGGGGAGGTGGAGGCTTTGTGAGGGCCTTGGGCGGTGCCAACTGTCAGCACTCAACTACTCCCTGGGAACTGGGTCATTCAATTTTTCTCAGTTGTGCTGAGGAAGAAAGGCCTGGCGAGGTGGGGCAGTGCTGCGCTGTCACACAGGGTGCACCCTGAGTCAGAAGTGACTCAGCAGAGCGAGTTTGATGGTCAGAGGCCGAGGCAACAAGGGGGCGGGGGTGGTTCGACCGCCACGGAGCTGAGCTTGAGTTTTAGCTCAAAGTGAGCAGCCGCGTGATCTGAGGTAAGTCCCAGAGTCTCAGTGTCTGCACCCTGAGGTGCAACTGTCACCACATGAGGACCAGGTGTGTGTGTGTAGATTTATTGAGCTAAAGCACATTGAAAGTACGTTATGAACTTCCACGAGCAGTGGTTTGTGTTTTTTGCTTTGTTTTACTTTGTTTTATTTCCAGGCTCTCCCCCACCCGGTTGTCCCCACTCTCACATCCCAGCGGAAGCAATGTTGGGGGTGCGGGAAGCCAGAGTAGATTTCCGGGGATGCAGCTTGGCCCTTCATCATGCCCTTTGCAGTTGCTGCCCGGAAGCTGGGTAAAGCAGAGAGGTGGAGAGAGGGGCACAGGCTCATCCACTGTAGTTGCTATGACACCCAGCCTGGATCTGCCCATCTCTCCTAATGGAGGGGAGGGGAGGGCCAGGGATTCGGGGTGGAGTGGAGAGAACCCTCTTGGCCCCTCCCCTCTCCTCCCTTTCCTCTGGAGCAGATGTGGGGTGGGGGTGGGAGGGAGCCAGGATAGAAGGGGGAGGGGAGAATGGTTTGCCCGGATTAAAAGGGTTTGAGATTGGGGGCATACTGAGAGAGGAGGGGGCAGGGCCCTCATGCCTATGACCAGAAGCCAGCTGATGACATTAGACAGAAGCAAAAACAGGAGACAGTGGGAGCTGATGGGGGGCAGGGAGCGAGAGAGGGAAAGCTGGGCTAGGAGGCGTGGAGGCAGGCAGCTCCAGGACCAGCCTCTGCCGCCCTGCTCCTGGGCTTTCAAATCCTCCAGGCAGCCAAGGCTCAGGGTCCCTGAGATCTGCCCCAGGATGGGTACCAGGGCAGGGCTCATGCCCCCTCCTCTCTGGGCACTCCTGGGCTGCTGTGTCCTCTGCGGCTTGACTCTGGGAGGTCCTCGGACACTCCGTTCTCTGCCCCAGATGTCCTCCCAAGCTCAGCCCATCTGGGCGCCCCCAGAGGGGGCAGAGGCAGCCCTGGCTTTCCTCTATTCTGGAGACAGCCAGCAGCTATTGGGGGCAAACTGCAGCGAGCGCTATGAAGCCCTTGGGGCAGAAGCCAAAGCAGGGCTCCCTCCAACCCTACAGAGAGCAGCGGGCACCCTGTCCCAGGCCACCAACTTCCTTAATATGCTACTGCAAGCCAACGACATCCGGGAGTCCAGCGTTGGGGAGGATGTGGAGTGGTACCAGGCACTGGTTCGAAGCGTGGCTGAAGGAGACCCAAGGGTATACCGGGCTATGCTGACCTTTAGCCCTCCACCTGGGGCTAGCCACCTGCAGCTGGCTCTACAGGCCACCCGGATGGGTGAGGAAACCATCCTTCAGCACTTGTCTGAGGCCACGGGGCAGGAGGAGCACCAGGCTGAGGACCTGGACAGTCTGGCCCTGCAGAAGCGAGTGCTGACCAATGACCTAAGGAGCCTCCACAGCCCCAAGTGGGCCCAGGGGGATGGCTATGTGGGGGACATGCAGCAAGTAAGACTGTCCCCTCCCTTCCTGGAATGTCAGCAGGGCCGTCTCCGTCCTGGCTGGCTGATCACACTCTCGGCCACCTTCTACGGACTCAAGCCAGACCTCAGCCCAGAAGTCAGGTAAGTGGGTTTGTGCAGGATTTAATGCCTTTGTAGGTAGGAGGGGATGTGTGGTGGCGGGGAAGGGAAGTGGGATAGGTATGAGTACATTGTGCACGCGCCTCTTGGCCGTGTGTGCGTCTGCGTGTGCACGGATGTGTGTACTTGTAGTTGGTTCCGGAACCTGTAACTATGTGTTAATGCCCGCAGGTGCGAGGTTACACACTGTGTGTGACTCAATCCCTTTCTGCATCTTTCTAGGGGTATCGGTTGGTATTTCTGGGTTTGAGCACATGACTAAAGATCCCTTGGTATGTGTGTAGATAGATAGATAGATAGATAGATAGATAGATAGATAGATAGATAGATAGAGATATATATGTAGGTAGGTAGGTAGACATCCAGGTCTATCGGCATGTGCATAGATAGATAGATAGTGTTTGCTTCGGTAGCACATATACTAAAATTGGATAGATAGAGATATATGTAGGTAGGTAGAAGCCCACCTTGTGTAGGTATCTTGGTATGAGTGTGCACAGATGCAGGGTAAAGATGGGCATGGGCCTTGGCCCCAGCTCTAAGGGGTAGGAGGCTTGGTATCATAACAGACATCTCAGGGGCCAGGCTTCTGAGAGGAGCCATGTGGGCCCTTCAGGAGTTAAACCCACTGCTCTCCAATGATTTAGGGCTTGAAGAAGATGATCATCTTGGGGAAAGAAAATTCGGGGCGGGGTAAAGAAGGAAGGCCCTTCCTAGCCAGCATTGGTCCAGTCCCCAGTTTTATTCTCAGTAGCCATCTTCCTATCTCACACAGGGCCCACTGCCCAGCCAGTCCTGATCCAGGAGCCCGATATTCTTCCAACAACTGACTTCCTCCCCACAGCAGAACAGAGTGTGTGGTGGGGAGCCCTATTGGGAGAGGGCTGCAAGTGGACACAGGACTGTCACAAGGCATTCAACCACTCACACTGTGTTTCCAACTATTGCATCCCCACTCATTGTCCCCACACTGACTCTTGGCCAGCTCTGTCCTCGCTTAGCCCAGAGCAGGGTTTGGGAGGCACTGAATTAAACCATCCCACCACAAGGATTTGCCACCCCCCATTTTCTTCTCTGTGGTGCAGACCCTGCTTGTGTGTGTGTGTGTGTGTGTGTGTGTGCATGTGTGTAATTGTGTCAAACTCTCTTTCTAAGAGATCACCAGAGTCCCAGCTCCCACATGCGTTGACTTGCCCCCCCCCCTACCCGAATCTAGGAAGTGACAAGTGGTTGAGGAGCTGAGTGGTGGGGAGCAACGCAGGGTGAGAGCCTGTTGCCCACCGAGACAGAAAGGGTTCAGAGCAGTGAGGAAGCAGAAAACTGGCTCCTTCACTGGATGCCACAACAGTCACTGTGGACAGTCTACAAAGCTGGCATTGCCCCCTAAGCAGTAGACATAGACACAGGTCTGCCGCCTCCTCCCTCATGGCCTGTTCACCGCTCCAGGGGGCAGGTGCAGATGGACCTGGAGCTTCAGAGCGTGGACATCAATCAGTGTGCCGGTGGTCCAGGCTGGTATGCTAACACACACCTGTGTGATCTCAACAGCACCCAGGTAAGGACCAGGATCAGGGGAGATGCACTAGGCGCTCCTCCTTGCATCACTGCCACCACTCTGCTCCCACAAGCCGCTCATAAAACCAGCCCAGCCTCTCCAGGCAGCGGCAGGAGTCTCTAGTGATTGACAGAAGTGAGATGCCAGGTGTTTTAAAAGCGAGGCCACTCGCAGCCTCCCCCTCCCCGCAGCCACTGCCCATGCCTGTGAAATCTCAGTGTCCCTCCCTATCTGCTCTCCTGTCAGGATTCCTCCCCAGGGCCACTTTCAGAGCCTCAGGTAATCATCTCTCTCTTTCCCCTGGACAGTATTCTCCAGGACCACAGCGCTCTGGACTCCCACCTGGCTTACAAAGGATGCCCCCTTGGTGTTTGTCAAAATAAAGGGGATTTCTGGTTGGGGTGTGGGAGGAAGGAATCCAGCCAAAGCAGGAAGCTCTGTGGCTGGTGAAGGTGAAGGATCCCAGGCAGCGGCTGGCCACCACCAACACGGTGCAGGTCAATTGGGGCTGGTTGGAGGACAATGGCTGCTCACTCTGCAAGCCTGGCAGCAAAGAGGAGGCCAGGTTTGCCTTGACAGCCTGCCAGAGGGAGGTGGGGCAGCCTGCATTTTGGAGACAAGTGGCCCGCTGCGCTGAAGGACACGTGTGTTTGGAGCTATAGGTACAGGGATGGAGGGCTCCCCCTTCCCTGGCCACACCTTCTTCTCTGGGCCACACATCTCTCTGATCCTGCAGGCTGCGGCAAGAATAGAGAATGTTCCCATGGTCCAGGCAAGAGGGAAGCCTTGGCCCCAGCTTCCTCAGACCCACGCTCTACCCCATCCAGGTGATGTCAGGGACTGGGTCCGGAACTCCCCAAGGCTTTATCCCCTCCCTTTGCCCCTCGGATGTCTATTTCTGGCCAGGTCCACAGCAGACCAACCTCATTCCGTGCTCTCTTCTTCCTCGCTGCTGAGGTCTGTCCCTCCCCTGCTGAGCAGACAGCAATGGGAGGAGGCAGAACAAAGGGCTGCTCTTGGCACCCCACCAGCCTGGCATTAGCCTGGCATTAGGACCTGGAAAGCAATCCTGTGCCAAGGCCAGATGGCCCCTGATGGAGGAAGCTGCTCCCGCATGGGGGCCCTTTTCAACCCACCTGTGTGCCTAAGAGGGCCACTCTGGGAAACAAGAAGTAGGATCTCAGGGTGTGTCTGGCCTCCAGCTCCCCCCACTTCCACCTCCTCCCAGGACCATGCCCTGGCAATGACTGGGGGTGGGGGGAAACAGGACCTGTCAGATCCCTCCCACTGCCAGTCAGAGCAAGGGTGAGCCACCCCCATATGCTGCTTGGCATCTCTCTGGGAAGGAGGGAATTGTGGAGATGGAGGTGGGTGTCTAGAGCAGGCGTCCTCAAACTACGGCCTGCAGGCCACATGCGGCCTGCTGAGGACATTTATCCGACCCGCCAGGTGTTTTTGCCCTGTTTGGTTTTTTACTTCAAAATAAGATATGTGCACCGTGCATAGGAATTTGTTCATAGTTTTTTTAAACTATAGTCCAACGGGTCTGAGGAACAGTGAACTGGCCCGTTTAAAAAGTTTGAGGACCCCTGCTATAGAGGAACGCCTTCCCAAAGCACTAGGTGGGCTTCTAGTGGGCTTCCTTTATGTGGGCCCAGGTGGTCTGGTGGATGGACCCTCCATCCCTGCCTAGGAAGGAAAGCGCTGCCAGGGAACGCCCCCCGGAGATGTACAGCACGTTTGTGTCTCCACAGTGTGTGCCCCTGGAGAGGCAGGGCTTTGTTCTGGGCCGCTACCTCTGCCGCTGCCGGCCTGGCTTCTACGGGGCGAGCCGCTCCGGGGGTACGTACCTAGGGTGATTTCCAGGCTGGGCTCCAGGGGTCCCTGGGAGAGGAGGGAGAGTTGGAGTGAGACACTGGGAAGAAACAGGTGAGCCACGGGCAGAAGGTGGGGTGGAGGCAAGGCACGCGAGTATCTTAAGAGGAACCCGTAACATGCCATCTCATGCAGCTTATCCCCCAGTGAACTGTTGTCTAGGGCCACCGCTACCTGTTAGCCTGCCCTCCCTCGGAGTACCTCTTTCCCCGCTGCTCCCCCTCCTGCCCCTGCCCAGGGGCCACAGGCCATAAGCAGGGGGGTGGGACCAGAAGCCAAGGAAGCTGAGGACACAGGAAGGGGGCCTCTAGCCAGGTTCCTCTCTCTGTACCCATCTCATTTTTTATAGGGTTGGGGGAGCCTACTGGGCAATTCGGGTCCCTGCAAGGCAGCTCTGGGAGGCTGCTGTGGTGCCAACCATGTCCCGAGGGCTGCACCAGCTGCATGGATGCCACGCCATGCCTGGTGGAGGAGGCCCTGGCTCTGAGGGCGGCAGTGCTGGCCTGCCAGGCCTGCTGCATGGTGGCCATCTTCCTGAGCATGCTCCTCTCCTATGGCTGTCGCCGCCGCCGTGGCAAGGCAAGGCAGGCCCCACATCTCATCTCCCCTGTGCATGGGCCCCTCCACCTCCGGTGTCGACCAGAGGCCTGAGATGACCGGAGACTAGAACCTGGGAGAAATGGGGGGTGTTTTTGATTCTAGGCCCAGCTCACCTGTTTCCTCCTCTGTCAAATGAAGACATGGGACTTGCTTGTTGGGCATCGACTGTACAGAACTGGGCCTAGGCCTGAGGGGAAGGGGCCTCCCCCAGATTAGTGGAGGAGGCAGGATGTAGAAAAATAGCAGTACAGTGAGATAGGGGTTTGGTGTACTGGATGCTTCTCAGGCAGAGAAGAGGATGCCACACCCTAGACAAGGGGTAGTCAGCCCAGAAGCTTGGCAGCACCCCCAGACCCTGTCTTGCTCTTCCACTTTAACTTGAGCCTAGAGCTGCAAGACCCCAGTGGATGGGCCTGGGTGGGGAGGTGGAGGGCTATGTAAAACCTTGGTCTTAGCCACAGGCTAAGCACCTTACAGGTGCTCAGAGCCTCAGGGACAGCTGTGAAGCCTTAGCCCAAGCCCTAAAGTGAGCCCTGCCACCGGCCTGCAGCTGTGCCCGGCTCCAACTTCCCACTGCCCTTTCTTTTCCTGGGGTTCCCAGAGCATCCGCTTGTCCGGGCTTGTCCTGCTGGAGGCCATTCTGCTTGGCGCCCTGCTGCTCTACTTTCCGGTGAGTCCGTGGCTAGGGGCCAGTCAGACCTCCCAGGACCCCGCACTGCCCCAACCCGGCCCCCTGCACACCCTCAGAACTGCAGTTCCTCTCCGGCCGGCCTCGTGGGGGTGGAGAGACTCGGAGACTTCGATTCCTCCCTGCTCATAGCCACCAAGGGGCCCCTGTGGCGACCTGGTTGCCACCAGCATGGACTGGAGGGCAGCAAGTTAGGTTTGGGTTCATGCCCCCATGGCAGGCAGGCCTAATAAACTCGGGGGGGTGGGGTGTGTCAAATGGCCCCTGTTTGAGCCCGCTCCGCATCCTGGGGGTCTAACCTCTGGGTGGTAAGGTCAGCAATCATGTGGAGCACAGTGGGGAGCAGCTCTGGCCTTCACCCCACCCTCACCCCCCACCCCCGCCCCAGGTTTTCATCCTGTACTTCAAGGCCAGTGTGTTTCGCTGCATTGCCCTCCGCTGGGTCCGCCTGCTGGGCTTCCTCGTTGTCTACGGCACCATTGTCCTCAAGCTGCAGAGGTAGGGCCCATCCTGCCCACTCAGGGAACCGATTGGGTCATTGCTAGACCCTTGATTGTGTCATAGCTAGACCCGGGCCCGGGCCCATGCCCCTGGGGCCCCACCAACATCGCTCTCCCCTTCAGGGAATTTTGGGGAGGGGGAAAGAGGCAATGCACCGTGGAAGCAGTGGACGGAGCCCCACCTTCTGCACCCCTCTCTAACTCCGGCAGAGCACTCCGGCTGTTGGTGTCGAGAACGGCCCGGCGGGGCCCCCACCTGAGCGGTGGGCGGCTGCTGCGACGCCTCGGCCTGCTCTTGCTGCTGGCGCTCAGCTTCCTGGCAGTGTGGACGGTGGGGGTCCTGGAGCGAGGCGTCCAGTACACGCCCCTGGTGACCCGAGGCTACACTCCTGCTGGCCGCCACTTCGACTTCTGTCACCACAACCTCTGGGATTACATCATGGTTGTGGGTAAGCTGCTTCTGCTGGGCCCAGCCTCAGCCTGGCCCGCTCTGCCTCGCCAGGCTCCCCACATCCCTGTCCGGCCCTGCCTATACCCAGACTCCTGCCCCCGACCCTGGGCCCCCTGCTAAGCGTGCCTTAGAGGGGCCACCTGGCCACCAGGTAGGCTGACCCCACCACCACCACCTCCCATAGCTGAGATCCTGCTCCTGTGCTGGGGCAGCTTCCTCTGCTATGCCACGCGCGCCCTGCCCTCCGCCTTCCAAGAGCCACGCTACTTGGCCATCGCCCTGCACAACGAGCTGCTGCTCTCTGCAGCCTTCCACGCCACCAGGTAAGGGCAGGACCCGCCCCATGCCCCTCCCCTCCCCAGGTGAAGGTGCTCCCAGCCCGCCATCCTGCAGCGAGGTGAAGGAGGGCTCCGCTAGTAGCTCTCCCACCACCTTACAGAGCGCCTCACCCCTCGCCGCCCCCACCCCGGAGGACCACCCCCCCACACACACACCCAAGGAACGGAAGGGCCTCCCAGCCCTAATGCGTTTTCCATTATTTTCCATCCATTCCTAACGCCCCTTCCCACAATGCTCCATTCACCCCGCCTCCTGCCCCCATGGGCCAGGCCATGTGAGCAGCGGGCCCAGTGTGCGTGCTTCCCTAAGGATTTGGCTCTGTGCTTAGGGGTGGCCTGGAGGGCGAGGAGAAGGAAGGGTGCCCTCTCCCTCCACCTGGCACCTCCTCAGAGTGGGAAGAGGCCACTCCCACCCACCGTAACTACGGCTAGCCCCCATCCCGCCCAGGTTCGTGCTGGTTCCCTCCCTGCACCCAGACTGGACCCTGCTGCTCTTCTTCTTCCACACCCACGGCACGGTCACTGCCACACTGGCTCTGGTCCTTATACCCAAGGTCAGCGCCTCCCCACTTGGATATGAGGTCCGGGGGTGGGGTGTGTGTGTGTGTGTGCGTGTGTTGTGTGTACACATGCAGGTGCACATGTGGATGGACACAGACACCAAGTGAGGCCAGCCTCTGTGTGAACCAGCTGCTGTGGCTGCAGCGTCCCCCTCCCAGTGAGGATGACAGAGGGTGCTGGGGGCCGAGTGAGTTAGAGCAGAAGACTAGCTACTGGTCCTCTGTCTCTAGTTCTGGAGCAAGGGAAATAAGAAGACTTAGGGCCAGAAGGGGCAAAGACCCCTGGTGGTGGAGTGGGTGGTACATGGGGCTTCAAACTACAAGGACAGCAGTTCAAAACCACCAGTTGCTCTGCCAGCTAAAGAGGAGGCTTTCCACACCTGTCAAGTTACAGCCTCAGAAACCCACCCAGGCAGTTCTACCCTATCCTGGAGGGTCATGATGAATCAACCCACTGGCAGTGAGTTTGGTTTGGAGCCCTGGTGGTGTCGTAGGGTACTCACTGGGCTACTGACTACAAGGCCAGCAGTTCAAACCCGCCAGCAGCTCTGTGGGAGAAAGATGAGGCTGGGAGGGGCCCTTTAAGACAGTGGAAAGGTTAGTGGACACTGAGAATCTTTTCAGATGGGCGTCTCACGGAAAGCTAGCGGGGATTGGGGGTGGGGGTGGAAGGGCATTGGTATGGGGGAGCCTACTGGGCAATTCGGGTCCCTGCAAGGCAGCTCTGGGAGGCTGCTGTGGTGCCAACCATGTCCCGAGG